GAAGGCATCTCGGTACATGTTGATGGATGGTACCCTGTATAAGAGGTCATACTCGCTTCCCCTTCTTCGATGTTTAACTCCTTATGAGGCCGAGTATGCACTTCGTGAGGTGCATGAGGGTGTATGTGGCAGTCATGTCGGAGCTCGAGCCCTGGCCCACAAGGTACTTCGGCAAGGATATTACTGGCCACACATGCAAGAGGACGCCAAAAAGCACGTCCAGAAATGCCCGAAGTGCCAATTCTTTGCACATCTCACCCACCAACCAGCAGAGGAACTGACCACCTTGGTGGCACCATGGCCCTTTGCGCAGTGGGGGATTGACCTCCTCGGTCCTTTTGTGAAGGGAACAGGGGGTGTAACACACTTAGTCGTGGCCGTCGATTACTTCACCAAGTGGGTGGAAGCCCAACCCCTTTCTAGCCTGACCTCGAGAAAGATTGAGGATTTTGTTTTCAGTTCGGTCATATGCAGATATGGAATCCCCAACCAAGTCGTCGCCGACAATGGACCTCAGTTCAACTGCACCTCATTCAAAGACTTCTGTTCCAGCTACGGGATTAAATTGGTGTTCACCTCTGTCTATCATCCTGAGGCAAACGGAATGGTTGAGTCTGTTAATAAGGCCATCCTAGAAGGAATTAAGCCCCGACTAGATCAAGTCAAAGCCAAGTGGGCGGACGAGCTCAACAATGTCCTATGGGCCTACCGAACTACAAGTCGGACAGCCACAGGTACGCAACTTAGCTACCTTTTTACTCTAATGTCATTACTCACTCTATAAAATGAACCCTAAAATCACAACTCCCCATTAGGCGAAACACCCTACCACTTGGCTTTTGGAACCGAGGCTGTCATCCCTGTCGAAATAGGCGTCCCAAGCCTACGAGTGACCCACTTCGACCCAGCTTGAAACGAGCAGTCGCTAAGAGAGAACCTCGATCTTTTGGACGAAGTCCGCGAGGAAGCTCGACTTCGGACATTAGCATACAAGCAGAAGCTGGCCAACTCATACAATAGGCGAGTCCGACCTCGAACCTTTAGAGTTGGTGACCTCGTCCTCAGAAAGGCAGGACTCACCGGCTTCGAAACTCGCTTCCGCAAGCTTGCGCCCAATTGGGAAGGCCCCTATGTCGTAACCGAAATCCCACACCCCGGCGCTTATGTACTGGTAGACGCCGAGGGCAAAAGAATACCTAGGGTTTGGAATGTAAATAATTTAAAGAAGTTTTATCCATAATAAAGCTTCATTTCATCCAAATTCTTGACAGCTGAGCTCGAGCTCTCATGTCGACTTCTACCTCGTCTTTAAAGTTAAAAATTCCGAACCCCTCCCAACCCAAGGCAAAAAAGCCAGTACTTCTCCACTACAATATTTTTCAACTTCGTTACAATTTTTCAGTAAACAATATCGCAATAAACGCCATACATTTCCAAAATTTCAATTCATTCATTCCAATTGCAATAAAGATTGTTTTCTACATATATTAAAAATTCTAAAAATTACAAAAGGTGAGCTGGCCGAGCTCAATCAATAAT